GAGAAAGTAAGGAAGGAATTTAAAAGTACTACTTACGTGCAATATGGGCAAGGAAGAACAAGATTTATAATGACAAATTAATAAAGCACAGATCCACTGAGCAAGGAAAGAAAACAGAGTGATCTAGGTCAGGGAGAGAGGGACTGTCTTAGGTCAGAGCCAGTGTTCCCTGAAACAAACTTGATTTCTTCAATACTAAAACAAGTAGGGAGAAGAAGTAATAATTAGAAAATATATAGTAGGGGTAATACTTGTATTGTTTAGGCTGACTAATCAAGTGGAGCAAAAATGGCTTATTTTTCTAAGGTGTCAGTGGCATATGGGACAGAACAACACATCAGCAAATCCACAGCATGGTGCTGGGTGGGAGAGTGACACTGCTAGCACGAGTGGGGAGAAGGACACCACCTTGCTTGCACATGTCACATACGGCTGTGGTACTTTGGGCCTGTGGCAGAAATTTAGATGAGTTGTCCTCCCCTCTCAGTGCAGAGATGGCTACTCACTGAGGCATCTAAGCTGGGGGTCACCCCTCCTGGGGATGAGCTCCTGTGCAGCCAACAGCACGGGGAGGGGGTCCTGATGGGTCCTGAGACACAGCATAGCACCCCCAGCACCCCAGCACAGCCTGGCAGGCAGGCACTAACCACGGTCTGCTGTTGTCACCCAGAGCAGGGACAAGCTGCCCTTCTGGGAAAACGGGACAGGCAAGAAGGAGGCCTGGCAGAATGGCTGGCATGGCTACGACAATGAGCTCATGGACATGAGAGGCTTCTTCCTCGCGTATGGACCAGGTACAATGCCACCATCCCAGGTGTTCCACTTCCCCTGCAGCACCACGGTCCCTACCCCTGCAGCCCTGCAGCCCCTGGCACATCAGGACCCTGATGTGGCACTCTGTGACGCTTAAAAATTACAAATAGATGGCAGGATTTCCTCACTACAGAAGGTTTCTAGCTCTCTTTTTTAGCTGGAGAAACAGGGCAGAGAGATATGAAGGGATTTAGTCAGCCTCTCTCTGATGTCCCACCACAGTAACTCTGTCCCTTTGCTCTTTTTTCCTAAATTTTGGCCTAAATTTTTAATTCCATTTGAAACACACAAATTCTTCTTCTGTTGGAGGATTTGGACTCAACAACGCAGAGCACTTTATTTGGGAAGGCTGCAGCATACCTCACCCACCTGTCTGACGAGCAGACACAAGCCTCCTGGTTTCCACTTCATCTGGACCTTTAAACGCTGCAAAGCACCAGGGCGCAACCGCAGGCAGGAGTGAAAACAAAGCAGAATGTGCAATAGAATTATGTCAGGCTATTAAATCTACCAAGCGCACCCAGTAAAGTAGCTCCTTAAAAGTTTGGGGGTTTTTTGGTTTTCAGAATAAAATTGGACTAGAAGTAAAAAATAATGCACAAAAATTTTTAAAATGTTTTTGCTGATCTATGTTATCGTATAGCTATAAATTGTATAGTGTGCCACATCCCAGCCGGCTGGGAAAGTCCCAGGAAAGGCATAGGAGCCCTTGCCCTGCAGCACCCCATATTTCAAGCACTGAGCCATAAGCTGTATGATGTCAACTCCTCTCTTTTGCCTGCAGATTTCCGATCCAACTACCGAGCACCACCCATCAGATCCGTGGATGTTTACAACATCATGTGCAGCCTGGCAGGAATACAGCCACTGCCCAACAATGGCTCCTGGTCCAGGGTGGAGTGCATGCTCCGAAACACAGCTCCCTTGGCACCACTCCCCCCATGCAGCAGCTGTGCCCTGGCACTAGTTGTGCTCTCCCTGTTCGCCAAGCAGATCTCCTTACTGTGATCCCTGAACAATGTCAGTCAGTGTCACCAGCAACTCCATTCTTCTCTGATTTTTTTTTAAAGTTCTTCATTTGAATAATAGCTTCATTAATAGAGTGCTGTCCCCCACTCCTCCATTGTGCTCCACCAGGCGTGAATCTGACCCATCCTGCATTTACAGCCGTTGTAACGTGAACATGTTCCAAACAACATGCTCCAAACACAGCCAGGGAAGTTGGTGTTGTTTCTCTAGATTTACAGCTCTGGCAATGAGAGCAGAATCCTGGCTGGCTATCCACATTATTTTCTGGTGGGTGCAAGTGGGGATCTCTGAGCATCAAACACATCTTACACAGCATCTTTCTCTGAGGGGCTCACCCTGGCTCCTGGTACTGAGAAGCTCAGGAGTAGAGACTGACATCTCTGCATTTAACTGCGTTCTTCCTTCTTCACTCCTTCATCTCCAGCTCCATCACCAGCAGGGCCCCATCTTCTTACAGTGCCAGCCAAGCCCTGTCTATACTGACCCATTCAAAGTGCCAAGAGCTTTGGTGAGTTACCATAATGCTAAGAGAGGTGGGCCAGCAGGAGAGCAGTGAGAGCATCCTATTTCTCTCAGCCTTTCCTTCTTCTTTCTCCCCAGTGTGAGTCCTGGCTGTGCATAGAATCATAGAATCAGCCAGGTTGGAAGGGACCTCTGAGATCATCAAGTCCAACCCTTGATCCACTACCACTGCGGTTGCTAGACCATGGCACTAAGTGCCACATCCAGTCTCATCTTAAAGCCTCCAGGGACGGAGAATCCACTACTTCCCTGGGCAGCCCATTCCAATGTCTGACCACCCTCTATGTAAAGAAATTCTTTCTAATATCTAACCTAAACCTCCCCTGGCACAACTTGAGACCATGCCCTCTTGTCTTGCTGATAGTTGCCTGGGAAAAGAGACCAACCCCCACCTGGCTACAACCTCCTTTCAGGGAGTTGTAGAGAGTGATGAGGTCTCCCCTGAGCCTCCTCTTCTCCAGGCTGAACAGTCCCAGCTCCCTCAGCCTCTCCTCATAGGACTTGTGCTTGAGTCCCTTCACCAGCCTAGTTGCTCTCCTCTGGACCTGATCCAGGACCTCAATATCCTTCCTGAATATGCTTCCAAGGCCTGGCTTTCCTCATGGACCACAGCAGTGGGAAGGGCTGAGAAAGGGGAGAGCAACAGAAATCCTCCACCTCAAATAGTGGGAAAATGAAGAGGCATCTGGACACACAAGGGTTGGGAGAAAGTACGATGAAGAAGCCTTGAATTTAAGTCTCTTTGCTTTTCCTGGTGAAGATAATACGATCTGCTCAGGTTTTGGTGTTTTGTACTCAATTGCATTTCTGAAGGTTTTCTGAAACTTGCTGCTTTTCTACCAGCTCTTGCTTTCTACACCTCTGCCAGGTGACCAGCACATTCCTCTTTATTCTGCAGCAGGGAAAGAGGTCTACATTGATAGGTGTTCCACCCTCCCAGTTAATCCTAGCGATTATTTCCACCACAGGCTATCAAGCACAAACAAAGTTGTAACGGTAAAGTTAGATTAAATAGCAGGAGAGGATAGAGCTGTTGCCAGAGGTGCCTTTGGGAGTGCCCACTGCTTTATCTGATATACCTCTGGACTGGGAACTTTCAGCAACAAACTGCCTTTGGAAGGATTTAGGTCCCTCCCCATGTGAAACAAACCTCTAGGACTTACTACTCTTATGGATCCAGAGTCAGGCATGATCTAGGTATGTGTGATACAGCACATTTAAGAGTGAATGATTACACCGTGGAAAAAAACCAAACACCAAATTAAACTTCACAAAGACTTCTGTAATAGCTGTAAAGATTTATGTAATGTGTTTTTAAAGCTCAAGTGAACCATCAAATCAATTGGGAAAAAAAAAGGGAGAAAATCAGTCTTTGTTATTAGACTGTTGAGTATAAAAGACAGTTTAGTGCTTTCAAAACATTTGCAGTAGCTGTAAAACAAGCACCTATTGTTCAGAGTTCCCTGTTGCTCTTTAATGGACCATGCTCAATGAAATCACTGGAGCACATTTTTAAAGCAAGAAAAAAAATTAAAAATCAGCATATCAGCATGCAAGATAACCAAATTACCAAGTTTTGTTTGAAAATCAACAGGCTAGATGCCATCAGTGCCTGCTAATCTCTCCATAGCCTGCCATTATAATTCTTACCAGTGAACAGAACCCAAGGTCTTCTTACAGAAGAAAAGTTTCTAATGGTATAAGGGTATATTCAGCTTCTCAGTTATACAAGCAGAAACTGGAAATAACAAATTGAGTCCATTGAGTTGTTCCACAGGTGGGCCATGACACATGAAACCAACATTGATCCTTGTGAGCACTTCGTGTAACTCATTTTTGTCAGTGTCCACATGCAAGTACTGAAGAGTAAATTTTCTAATTGCAATATGATTTGTTTGACCTTAATGCAAGCATTGTGTGTATGGTAAAAGATACTTGGTCTGCAAAAGGGAAATTGATAGTAGACCTCCAAGAAGCTCATTAGTTTCAGGAGAACTACAGCTCATTATTTTTTGAAAAGTGCATCTTTCTTCCTCAGAAATGTTGTACCTCTGAATCAGTTCACATTCTCATTCAAAAATCAAGTGTCTTATCTCTCACCTATTTTTCTGTATACTATGCAATGGAAGTGGGTGTATTTTAAAACCTATTTCTGAATGATGTTTTTATACAGTGACTGATTGTGAATGAGTGAATAATCCTAAGAATGGTGTTGGGAAAAAATGCATCTTTTTGTAAATACTGTAGGATTTTTGAAAAAAAAAACAAACACACAAAAAAAAAACCCAAACCTGCCCCATAACACCTTGCCTTTCTTGTCTTTGCTGCATCAAAGTGTGATAAACAGTGTTTGAAGCTTGTGCTGATTAATTATCAGAAAGATGAATGTAAACATTGTTTAGAAATGGCAAAGTTGTCAGCATGTAAATTAAGGACATTAAATACATCACATAAGATACTGTAGCTTGTATACGCAGTCCTTTTTTCCAGATCTACTTCAGTATTTAATCTTTTGAACATCCATCCAGGGACATGTAATTCACACTAGCCAATGGACATGACAAACATTTTGCTCTGCTAAGAAGAGGGGTGAGCCCTGGATGTTCTCTCCAGGCCCACTTCTCCAAGCCCGCTTTGTTACCATCACATCAGCTGCTTGCACAGAAATCAAGTGCATTGTCACTGGTTCAGGCTTTCCAGAGCCCCCACTTCCCAGTGGGGGGTGGTGCAAATGGCAACTAGACCTTGAAAACCAACACTACGGGTCTCGAGGACAAGGGAGCCTACCCACCCTTTAAGCTTCACAAACCAACAGTGTTCAGTGAAGAGACTAATTTAATAGAAGTAAGTCTCCAAACCTACTCAGTGGAATTTAGCTTGTTTTCCTTATGCTAACTGACCACAGGGGCAGGGAGTAGATGCTGAGGAGAATCAGTTCAGGTATGCCAAGAGTCCTTTAATTCTCAGCAGGGCTCCCTTCAAACCAGCAGCACTGCCAAAGTCTGCCAGAGATGCTCCCCTTGTGTTCCAGGAGCATGGGTCCTGTGAGCAGGAGGATGCTGAGGGATTGCTTGCACAGACACAGCATGGGAATCAGCCTCAGTCAGCTCCCTGTAACAGTGCCAAAAATGGCAATTTCACACCTAAATAATCTAAGCCGTTTTATCAGTGAGCTTGGTGGACATGTAAATGGCATAGCTGGCCAAGGCTCAGCAGGTGGGCCCTCCAGCATCCCTCAGGATGTAGCCCACATTGTCTGCACAGACTGCAGCCTCATGGAGACTTTCCTGTTGCCCCAGACACGGGCCTGAGCCCTCCATAATTATGGGGACTTCACAACTAAGGGGTGAATGAAAAGATTTTGTGGTGTTGGTCACTTTACTTGTCTCCTAACAGCTAAGTCAAAACATCTGTCAGATGTTAAACCCCACACCTCAGGGGGAGATGCAGACCAAATGAGCTCTGGGCACTGGGAATTGAAGGACATTGGAAAAGCCCCTTTTGTAACATTTCCCCGCCTCATTTTCCCTGTGGGGCTGTGGAGAGAGGCCAGGCAACAGCAAATCCAATGAGAATTTTAAAAGAAAACATAGCCTAATGAAGGGAAAAATTTTAAACCCTCCATTTTAGCATAAGGAGGCTTTAAGGGCTGTTCTGAAAGACAACTTTCACCTACATGGAAAAACATTTTTTCTTCAGGTATTGAAACACATTTAAGGGAAGGTTATTGGAGAGTGCCCAAAAATAAGAACATTTCAGAGTTACAGTTGACGGGGCAGTGTAATTCTTAAACTTTATACAGATGTTTACAGCTCTATGGATTATTCTGATAACATTTCAAATACATGGAAGTTGCCATGGACTTGCAAACCAGTATGATGGTATCCCGAATCTGGCAGATCTGTATCAATGACACCAGTTCCAGTCTGCCAGGCCAATTTCATCTGGAAACCACCATGAGCTGCCAGCAGGCCTGTCCTGGTCTCTCCCTATCCCAGCCAGGCATCTGCCTGAAGGCTGCCCAGGATGCAGGGAATGCTTTGCTGCAGCCGCACCACTGCACCAAGGCCACTGCTACTGCCCTGGCTGGCCAGAACTTGCTACCTGTGGGGTCTGAAGATACACTCTAGGGTGGAAGACACCCACCAGCAGCAGCCCTGGAACACCCGCATGTGCTCCATCAGCTTGGCAGGCTGGGGGAGGCTGGGGACAGGTGGCGGCGGGTGGGCGGAAAGGCCTGACAGGCCCTGGGAGTGGAGATCACGGATCCACAGAATGGGTCAGGTTGGAAGGGACCACAGTGGGTCATGTAGTCCAACCTCCCTGCTCAAGCAGGGTCATCCCAGAGCATGTGGCACAGGATTGTGTCCAGATCATTCTTGAACATCTCCAGTGAGGGAGACTCCATAACCTCTCTGGGCAACCTGTTCCAGTGCTCAGTTCCCTGCACAGTAAAGAAGTTCCTCCTCATGTTCAGGTGGAGCTTCCTG